GAAAGCCCCACTGCTCACCAGTGTGCAGGCCAGCAGGGCTAGGTGCACAGCTAGCAGGATGGAGAACATGCGGCCACCCTTTTTCCATACTTCCTTGGAGGCAGGGGGGGAAGGGGGTTGATGAGGCCGGTGGCTGAAAGCGGCTATCTGGCTCGAAGCCAGGCTGGCTTTGTCATCCTTGTGTCCGCAGCCCATGCTGGAGTTTGGGCATCTGATCTCGCTATCCTTCTGCACAGGCTCTTCGGTCATGGTCCAGCTAATGCTGTAGCTGCGGGTTAGCACTGTTGGGAGGAAAACCCCATGAATGAAAGGAGTCACTTCATTTTAAATAGCCCAGGGCTGGACCAAAGCAGGACATGGGATGAGAAAGAGAGGGTATGTCAGAAGAACGGGGAAGGCTGAGACAGCAAGTGCAGTAAGAGGTATGAGCTCACTTTCAGCCTTTCTCTTTCCATTTCCCTGAAGGCTATTTTTCTTGCTTATGATGTTCTCATCTGGGGAGACCCCAGGTCAGTTTAACAATGCGTGTCTAATTTGTCACACAACGTTTAGGTGTTTTATTGATGTAAGATGTTGGAAAAGCACCAGAAAAATACTCACATGATCAAATATCTTGGGGCAAATGGCCAATGTGGTTTGATTTCCAAATGTCAAACACAAAACATTCAGAGCAAACATCATGCTTCCTTGCTAAGGAGCAGGCAGCTGAAAGGTAAGAAAGCCCTGGGAACGTTTGGAACAGCACGTCATACCAGTTCCTGCAAGAAGGACATGAGCTACCTCTGCTTCCTCTAAAGCCTATTGTCTGTGCCAAAGTTGATACTTCATTGGTGCACTATGAAGTGCAAAAGCCTGAAAAAAAGCAAAGTAACTGTTTGAACCAAGTCATTCCACCTACCTGTTTTGCTGCCTGGAATCCAAATCTCTGCTCTTGCCAGGCTGTCTGAGAAGTTTCCCTTTGCTGCACCTTGGTCAGCCAAAGAATTTATACCCTTTGGGATGTCTCCGTGATTTATACCATCTCTGGAGCTGACATTGGCGCTTCATGGGCTTCTCAGAGAAACTCACATGATCCATTTTGTGCAACAGCTGATTTTAGTGAAACAGAAGAGAGAAGAGGAAATCAGGGTTATTTACCCAGGACGAGCATGAGGTGAGCTAAGCACGTCTAATGTGAGCTAAGCACAGCCTGGACCACCCTGCTGCAGGGTCGCAGTCTTCACAAATAGAGTAAACCCACCCCTGACCAATCCATCTCCCTGCAGGGACAAGGTCTCCTCTCCTGAGAGAAGATTGTTTAGGTGATTCATTCTTTTTTTTTTCTTTTTTTTTTTTTTCTTTTTCTGTTGTTTTAGGGCTTGACTTTCTGGTTAACTGAGTATGGTAAATATTAAGCCTCACCCTGTACTATTTCATCAGTATGCTCTGAGCCTTCCCCATATAAGAACGTTTATGATGAAGAGGAAGAAATTTGCTTCTGTCCGTATTCAGCACCAAGAGCGGCTCAGTCTTTTCCCACGCTGCCAGAAAAAAGGGAGGTATAGTACTAGAACCAAGCAGGATTTGGGGCCTGTTCCCCTTTGCTGACGCATTGCCTTTGACCTTTTGGGCTGAGATGATGTTTCCCTGGCCCTGACATAATCTCAGAATGGTTGAGGCTGGCAGGGACCTCTGGAGATCGTCTAGTCTCAAGCTAGTCTCAATGCTCAAGCAGGGTCACCTGGAGCAGATTGCCCTGTGCCCTTATTTCAAGGGGAAGCTAGTGATGTTACAAAACACAAAGCATGTGGGATTCAAATGTTTGCCAGGCTGGGGGCAGGCTTTTGCTCAAAATCTCTTTTATCCTTCCTAAGTATTGTTATTTTATGAGCATGCCTTTTTTGGAGATTTTCCTGCTCTTTGTCTCTTCTGCGGCAAGTTACAGAGGGAGGGCTGCTTGCTGTGTGTTTTCTCTGTCCTGTTCCTGCCTGTTAACCCCAGTACTTCTTCTTGCAGCGCTGCAGGACCTGCTCAGCAGAGACTCGGATGACCCAGCGTCAAACCAGCCAGCGTGGGACTGGGGCATGGAGCGCCTGGATCTACCATACGGTCCAGGGAGACTTTTGTGCGTCTTTCCTGTGCTGCCACCAGCTGGCTGCCACAAGTGCTGCTGGGACTGCTCTGCCTGGGCTCTGGTAATCCTTATGGGTTATTCTTTCGGGTGAGTGGTTTATCTTTTCTCAGTCTGTAGCTATCTCGGCCTTTCCCAAGGGAACCCCAGAGTCCGGAGCAGTGAATCTGAGCTGATAATGGTTATCTTTTTGCAGATCCTCTTAGGAACAGTCTGCAGAAGCCAGAGATCCCTGGGCTAAAATGCACTCATTTATCTTCCTTTGTCCTTAACAGCAATAGGGGAAACAACATTTACTGCCTTGGGCAACACTCCCAATCCCCCTGGGAGCCACTATATGGGCATGGTAACAATAACAAGCTTAATTAGCAAGAATACAAGAATAATTAAATAACCACAATAATGAATTGCAAGCATTACTACGCTGCTATTTATCTGGAAGGATCCCAAGGGCAAATAACTCCATCTAGTACATCCCATCAGAACTCACCCAGGGAGGCTGAGCAGATGAGCACAAGTCTGTTGCTGTGAGCATCCCTGTGTGGGGCACGGGCTTTCCTTCTGGTGTGCTTATGGGTGTCCCCAGGCAGTCAGGATGGTGACTCAGTCGGTGTCAGTCACCCAGGGGTTAATTATGGCAGCTTGTATGGTTGCACCTGGGACTGCTTTTGGGCCACCCCTCTGCTATCTTAGGGCATTTTTTTTCTTGAAACATAAGTGGTGTTCCACCCCCCCCCCCCTTTTTCCTCTGGCTCTGTTTTTGACTCTCTCTCCTTCCTTTCTGTCCCATCACCTTTCAGCTTCTCTCTGCTGCCACCTTTCAGTCTTTTCCCTTTTTTGCCACCCTTTCTTTCCTCCCTTTTTCACCTATCTGCTCAGTCTGTCTTTTCCCTCTCCAAACCCAAATTGTACAGTGAGCTGTGTGCTGTCACAGGGCCTTGGTGGAAGATGCAGGGTTCAGCCCTAGAGATCCCTTTCCCGGAGCCAGGCACACGAGGTAAAACATGCAGGTCCTACAGGGCATGGCTGAGACTGTGCGCAGCGAGGAACAGGAAATTCCTCCTTTGTGACAGCCTGTCCCAGGGGTTGTGGTTCACTGTGCTGTGACAGCCACGTGCTTTGGTCAATGTCTGGGCTTGGCTTGGCCTATCCCGACAGTAGAGGGTGCCCCGGGCTCAGGAATCTCGTGAGAGCTGGCCCTGGGAGCATCCAGCTCTCCTGGCAGTCCATGAGGGACTGGCCGAAGGCATCACCACCAGAAATTTTGTACCGACGTAAAAGAAACTGGACGCCACGCACTCTTATATGTCGCAGCAGAGATCCTGAGGCATGGACAAGAATCTGCAGCGGGGTGGGGGTGGGGGGCAAGGAAGGGGGTTTCCCAGCCTGTAAGAGTTACCCTGGGTTATAGCAGGTTCCTGTTGCATGGTTTGTTGTGATTCTCTGGAGAGCAGAGTCCAGTGGGCACAGCCAGGGTAGTGTAGGGGCAGAGGAGGCTGCTGGGTTTGCTGCTGTGTAGAGACCTAGGGGTATCTACACATTGCAGTTTTTTTCTACAAAAAACTGGGCAATGAACCCCCTCTGAGCTGCTCTGAAATTAGGGACAGTCACCAAACTGCTCTCAGCTGTCTCTGCAGAAGGAGGAGGGTCCCTCCATGTCCTTGATGTTGCCCCGCTTTGATGGGGCTGCAGGCAAGGGACGTGGAGGCTTGTGCTCCATCAACCCACGTTTTTTCCTGTGGTGGTTGCAGCTCTGCCGCGGGACCCTGCTAATCATCACTTGTGATGGGGTAGCTACAGCGAAGGATGCCTGAGGTATTGGGAAGGATTCAGCCCATGAGGCTTACTGGCAGCATGCGCCATTTAGGAGATGTTTTAGCCCTGATGAGCTGTTGCTGACTGACACCGTGTCTGTATCGCTTGACTGAGACACTGCTGGTCTGATGCAGCGAGGCTGCTTAATTGGAGCTTTTAACGTGCTGCAGAGCTGGTGTGTGAAGGGGTTCATTGTGAGGACCAGGCAGGGCCGGAGGACACTTAGGACCCAGGGGAAGCATCAGAGAGCTTGGCTGGCTGGGCTTGAAGGAGTTCCTGCCTCCCGCAGGACTTCTCAGGTGTCCTGGTGCGGGGCGGTGCTGTTGCGAGGTAAGCTCAGCCCTCCTGGCAGCTCCCCCTGCCCCATGTCCATGCCCATCCTCTGAGCCCCCCTGGGCACCCACTCCCCCATGCGCTCGCCCGGGGACAGCTTTGCACCATGAACGACCAGTACCACCGAGCAGCCCGGGATGGCTACCTGGATCTCCTGAAGGAAGCCACCAAGAAGGACCTGAACTCACCGGATGAGGATGGCATGACCCCAACCCTATGGGCCGCTTACCACGGCAACCTGGACGCCCTGCGCCTGATTGTCAGCAGAGGGTGAGCATTGGCATCTGCGTGGTGCTGTTCCCTGTGGGGTAGAGTAGCTGGGACCCCGTTTCTCCCCTTCGGCACTCACAGGTCAGTGTGGATGCAGGTGCTCCAGGAGCTGATGCCTCCTGTCCCTGACGGGTCCCTCTCCTGTCCTCCCCTCTGTTATTTTCTCTCCTCATGCTTCAAGTTCGATCCAAAGTCCCTGATGCATCTGTTGATCACTCAGGGTTATCCCAGCAACTCTGATCTTGTAGCTGCCCTGTGGGTCTGTCCTTGCCCCACACCCTGCATGCACCCACTGCACCCTCTGCAAGTGCTTTGCAGTCCTGACTCAGGTCCTGTAGACAGGCAGGCCCAAAATGCTAGCATGTCAGGTCACTGCCAGACCCTAACATTGTCCTTTTAAATAAGGGGACAGAGAGAATAAGAGCTCCTTCTGTTGCAAGAAATGCTCACAGAGAGGAGAAATGGGGGCAGTGCCAGCTGGTGGTAGGTGATACTTGTCTGTTTTATCTAAAGTGAGATCTGAATATGTGACCCAAGGGCAGCCTGTCATGCACCTTCAGCCCAGGAAATTCAGGAGCCTGTGCCTCCTGAGAGCAGATTTGTTTTAAGGCCAGTCTCCCACTGGGGGTTGCTTGATGTGGCCAGGTCTCTCTTGGTCCCTCATCTGGGCTGAAAGTGTCAAATCTGAAGGTCTCTGGGGCCATAAACATGGATGTGGTGGGGAGAAGGGAGTGAGACTGAGAGGGCTTGTCAGAGTGGAGGGCTTTAAATTTTGGTGGTGGTGGGGAAACTAGTGGGAAGGTCTGTGCTAAGGTGAGATCTGCTGTTCCTAATTCCTTCCTGAGCAGTTCTTGGCTCGCCTGTTCCTACCAGCCTCCCTAAGGAGCACATGCCAGCACTTCTTTCCCAGTCCAGGTAGCTTCTCTGAACACCTCATCCAAAGGATGTTTTCAGCCTTGTGCTGAGAGATTGGCAATGGCACAGATTTTATCTCTCCCCTCCCCCCCCCCCCCCCAATATCAAGGAATAGCCCTGGGGTTAGAAGCCCGGATGCACATCCTGCCTCCCTGGGAGGGCTTTGCTGCTCTGCTTTGGGTCGGGGCTCAGCTGGGCCCTCAGCTCCTGAGCAGAGATTTCCCTGCCTTCAGGCACCTGGGGCTGCGTTGGCAGCTCTCATGCCCAATCAGCCATGTGTCCACGGTGCCTGTTCCCAGGATCACAGCGTATCCTTATGGGAGACGGTTATACTCCCATCTGCTTGGGTAAAGCCTCCAGCTGGCTCGCCTGGCCCTGACCAGCTGTATTTTTAGGCAAAGCTCTGTTGCACGTTGCTGTCCGCCTGTTGTAAGGTGCTTTCAGATCCTGGGTTCGGAAAGGCTGTGTGTAGCGTCACTTTGAGAAGCCCTTGAGCGTCTGGTGCAATACAAGCATACTCAGGAAGGTATATTTTTTGGAGTCCAGCAAGGAGAGGGCAAAACACAGCTTTCATCCAAAGCACAGGCCTTTCAGACTGGCTGTATACATTGGGCTCATCCTCCGGGGCATACTCCTCGCATAGCTCTCGTGCTCGCAGCCTTGGATAGTCGCGTGCCGCTGTCACGCTCCTCCCTGCAGCATCCTCAGTAGCTTGCGCTCCCCTCCACGCATGGCTGCCACCCTGCTCAGGCCCCACAGCTGAGTCACCGCCTCTCCAGAAAGCCCAAGGGCTGCTTTTTAGCAGAGGGGCCCCTTTTATAAATTCATTATAAAAAGGTTCTAGTGGACGTGTCCGGGTGCATCTTGGCTACCGTTTAATTAATGGGCTAATATATGGTTGCTACTGACAGGGAAAATAGCCTGGCAGAGGCCTGGTGCCCTTTAAGTGATGAATGGTGGAGCAAAGCGTTCAGCTGGGGGCTGCAGGATGAATTTGCATCTGAGCATTCATCTCCCGTTGTCAGATCCTCATCCAGGACTGTGCAGAGATCAGCAAAGCTTCCTCACCGCTCCAGTCGGGTTGGTGCAGGGTGCTCTGCTCCTGGGAGCCACCTTTGGGTCAGCGTTGGCCAGCCAAAGTATGTGAAACACAGAAAAGCCTCTGAGCCAGAGGATAGGGGCTGTTGGTGTCAGAGAGGGGAAGTCGCCCCGGCCCTGCTCCAGGCAGACCCTTAGTTTTCTGTTAATGCCTCGGATGACATATGCAAAGGCACCCAAGTCTCGTTCAGAAACGAAGCTTGCTCTGTGCTGCTCAAGGGCTTTTGGCAGTGTTACTATTACGCCTGGGATCTAACCATCAGCAGGCAAGGTGGAGGACTCGTCGCTGTGCCAAAACGGCAATGTGGTTATCTCTGGTCTCGGCTGTCAAAATATTCCTCTTAGGCAAGGAAAGACCCGCACCTCGAGGCGAGAGCGTGCATGATGGGTGCGCGTAGCAGCGCCTGGGTGAGCGGTGTTGGGGTAGGTCTTGGGGGCAGATGGGCTCTTAAAACGCCAATTCCTATTTGCCAGCAGTTTGCGGAGGTCTTGTGCCTGGACAAGCTGGGAGATGGTTCCTTTGGTCTCTGTGCCCTGCAAAGCAGGCACTGGGGCCAGGCTGTTACGAAACATCCTGGCACAGCGAGGGAGGCCGGCCGGGAGAGGCCCTGGGAAAGCAGGGCTGTGCGAGGGAGACCAGGAGTGGACGGAGAGGGGGAGAAAATCAATGCTGCTGATTTTCACACCCTGTTGCAGGCCTGGCTGATGGATATTTAGGGTTAGCAGAGCTCTGTCCAGCTGTCGTGAGCGAAGGAGCCTTGTTCACACGTCTACACGTTCGGCAAGTTCTGGTGGAGGGCTGAAATGGGGAGGGGGAATAAGGTACGACCCTGCTTTTGGCAGATGTGTGAGGAAAGTTCATCATCTCGGCCCACACAGATGGGGTAATGAAGCTGATTTATTGCTATGTCCAGGTCGGAGCGGGAGAGGCTTCATAACAGCCAGTGATTTGTCTGTGCCTCGGTGCCGTCTTTGGATGGGGACAGAGAGAGGGGACAGGATGAAGGGGTCAGTGGTGGCTCATCCTTCTTGTTAGCAACACAGAAAGCCTTTTCTTCCTCCTGGCTGGGCTCCACTGAGGGAAACAAACTCAATTAATGTGATGGCTGGGAAAAGACAGGCTAATTGGCATTTGGTATTGCAGCTTTTCAGAGGCAGTCATTCTTCAGCGCGGTTCGTTATGAAGTGCAGTGGCAGTGACAGGCATCAGCTCAGGTCCTGTTAACCACAGATCTGAGGGTTTTAGCTGAGAAGAGCCAGGGCTTTCTTGCCCTGGAGTGGACCATGAGAGGGATTGGGATGCGTCTTCCTGCTAGACAGGGCCACGGTCAGCTTTTTGACCTAGCGTTCCTTCTCTGAGGTGTGCCTCGGTTTCCCACGCTACAAAACAGAGGTCATGGATACCTCCTTTTAAGAAGCACTTTGGATTTTAAGGGCAGAGGGATGCAAGGCAGTGCAGATCGTGCACCCATGCCGAAGCAGTGGGTTGGAAGAGAAGAAAGCTCCTGATGTCAACCAGGCCGCTTGAGGGAAGGGTTGTGGAGCAGGGTGGAATAAGGCAGTGGGTAGGACATGTGAAGGTGATGGATCTCCTTCCTGGCAAACAGTCACCTGGGTGCCAGAAGCAGCAGCGTGGCCATGTTGATGGGGAGCTTCCCCAGAGTGATGACCTGCCGGGGAGGTGAAGGAGCTGGGTGGAGTGCTATCATGGCTTGGTTACTTCCGGTACCTGAGCTGGCTTCAAGACAGTGTGAGATCTGGTCATGGTGACGTACTGGGCCAGTAGACATACCCCTAGGCACTGCTGCCATACAAATAGCATTAATAATCACTAGTAACATCAGTTCCCACAATATCTGCTAACCCAGCTTGTTGCTGGAATAGAAGTGGAAAGCCCTGAGATGAGCCTAACCTACAGCATCTGGAGCTAGATTTTGAGCTCTTCTCTTGCTGGAAAGAGCTTAATCCTTGACTTACCACCAGCTCTATCTTGGACAAAGCTTGGGATATAAGACCTGAAACTCTGTTCTGGGTCCCAAACTCATCTTTTTCTGCTCATCTCTAGGCTTTGCTTGAGTCATTGCCCCAAATGGCTATGCTGAAACTGGTTGTTTCTCTCAAGGCCATAAATGACTTTTCCTCTTCCTATAGCCAAAAACATTCTGAGTGTTTTACAGGAGCCAGAGCTATTTTACGCCCGGCCAGCTCACAGTGTGAGGGCCTGATCCTTCCTGCACGCACATGAGCATGCCTGCCAGGGGGTGAGCCAGCCCATTGCTATCAGAGGAACTTCACACATGCATCCGTGGAAGGAGATGTGGAAGTGTCAGTGGATTCCCAGGCTAATTGAGATCCCATGGGAGAAGTGGGGGGGAAAACGGCAGGAAGGGAGTGAGCGTGCGCGTCACAGTGAGAACACAATGACTCAGGAGATGCACACATCCACCCAAGGGGCTCAATTAACAGTGTTTTTAATAATTATTACAGATGTTGACTCAGATCTTGAAAACGCTTTGAAGTTGAGAAGTACTGTGCTTCATACTTGTTATTAAAATACGTTGCCACTTAGTGGACCCTGCAGTCAACATCTCCTTGCCTCGAGGTGAAGTTTTGCTTGGTCTGAGACCTGCCGGAGGGATGGCCTCATGTTTATTATCAGCGTCAGACCAAATGCATCTGCTTTGCAAGTCGCCATTCTTTTTCCCTTCTGATGCATTTTTAGTGCCTCTGTCAGATATTCATGGGGCAAAGGGACCCAGAGATCTAATTTTGCTCTAATATCTTGGATTCTAGACAGTGGAAATATCCAGGGAAAGCTAGTTTTGATGTTCTTTCCCCTTACTTGTTCTCTGAGGCAATAAAAAGCATGAGAAAAGAGTAGAGTTTCACATATGAATCCCCAAAGATCCTTCTGGCTTTGCTCTTTGCCACCCAAACCAGACGAACGTGAGGATGGCCTCTGAGATGCAGTGTGTGGATCAAGCATCCCGCAAGAGAAGCGATTGGTTTGGGGAGTGAGGTTATTTCCAGTGCGTCCATTGCTAAATCACTATCCGAGTAGGAAGTCCATATAGGTGTTGGGTCCCTCATGGTGCCCTGGCTCGTCTGCCCGTACATGTCTGAGCTGACACGCATGTGCCGATTCAGAGTGCACGTAAACAAATGACCATTCACGTGCTGGAGTCCCACTGCCAGCCCCAGCAATTCTAGTTTCACTGGCTCTTTAATCCAGCTCCATCAATAATTTACTCCTCTCTTGCAATTCATAAAATATTTATCCATGAATTTCCCGGCCGGGACATGTCACTATGAGGGTAGGGGGATGGACAGGGAGTTACCTCTTCTGGCAACTTGGCATTGCCACAGTACTGGCAGCTCCCCTCCTCTCCTTCAGCTGGCTTCACAGCTCCTTAATTCCTGCGGTCTCCCTGCCCCTCTTCTCCCTAGTGCTCTTCCAGGCCTCATCTTTGAAGCCTTTCTCAGCTTCAGTGAAAGATATCAAAGGCTCTGGATATGGAAGTCCTGCAGAGCTTTGTGGGCTTTTTTTTTCTTTTTGACTTAGTTCCCTTACATATATTTGAACCTTTTGACCAGCCCTTGCTGAATTTGCTAGAAGGCTCAAGATCATAGAGTTACCAAGTTTCTACAGGTTTTGTGAAAATATGTGGCTGCTGCAGAGCAACTGCTGATGCTCCTGGTAAGGGAAAAGCTGAATGCACCTCGCAGTGGCTATTGGGGACTCCTGGTAGGAAACTCATGCTCCAGAGGCAAGTAGTCTCCAGTTTAACCTCTGGACGCTGGCTTTATTCCTTCTACCTTTTGCAGAATCATTTCCTTTCCATATTAAATAGTTAAGATGTTTTGGTGAAGCCTGAAAATGGGGAACTAGTTATTACAGAGGCTGGAGAGCTCTGCTCAGGCTCTGTTGTTCCCTGAACACCAGTGTTTGGAATGGGATATAGGGAGCTTGGAGTGTGCTGTAAGTATGTGAGGGCTAATGTTAATGTGCTCGAAGGGGGTGTTACAGGGTCTCACGTATGAACGCTGGTGATGAAGGTGTAAAGCAACGTAGCTGGCAGGGGGAAGAAGTCCCTAGCTCTAGCAGTTTTGGTTCTCCTTCACTGAACTGTCTGTTAACCTCTTTCAAGTGAGATGGGCTGTAGCACAGAGGATGCGTGGGGTATGGGAGAGGCTTCTGGGCTCTGCTGATCCCATCTCTTATCAACACAGGCCTAAAGCAGTGAGGAATAAAACAGCACAGGGTGACTGTCTCAAGGGTGTGTTTCCCCTTCCAGACTCCTGGTTCTACCAGTGCGTTTACTCTCTTTCTTTTGAAGGCCTAGAGTGAGCATCCTGATGCCTGAGCTGGCTGAACCCTCTTCCAGACGCTTTCCTGGAAGCTAGGGTTTGTATTTGGGGTCCTCATGGCTGAGGCACAGCGCTTGGCTCCACTAGAGCTCATGAGAAAAGGTGGCAAGGAAAAGAGCAGGAGCTGTTCTGAGTTGCAACTCTGGAAGAGCTGCGCTCCACCGTGGGCAATTGCTCTTGAGAATGGTGGAGCTGCACAGCCTTAATAAAAGGCTCTGCCTTATGCATGTACGTGAAGGGAGAGAGCACTGTTGACAGTTACTGCTGCTGGCTGCATATCATTAGCACGCACACTCGAGCGAAAGCCTGGTGCCTGCAGGGGTGTGAACTATCTCTCGTTTCAGCAGATCATAAATACAGAGGAATGTCAGGAGTGCAGAGTTCCCTTGAGCCCTGAGTTCATGTCTATCCTGCTCCATGGACCCACCACATCACAGGAGACGGGAGATGTGGACAAGCGGTTGTGTCCCATCAGCAGATTGCTAGGGTAGGGGCTGACACAAAGTGAGAAGAGCTGCTAATTGCATTAGTCGAGTGTCCAGCCCTGGAGGAGCGCAGAAACCTAATCTCCACTTTCTCTGAAACTGGATTCTCAGGATGTGCTAATACCAACTCACTTCGAGGCATGCAATCGAAACCAAGCATGGTACGGCAAAGAACCCCCACAAAAACCCAAGCCCTAGGCCTATGCCAACAACTCTGCTCTTATTCTCTGTTGAAATCATGTCCCCTTGTGTCCTGAACTTCCCCACACATGAAAGAAGAGTGGAAGATTTAGCTCACGTGAAGTTAGAAAAGTGCAGCAGATGGTGGTTTTCAGAACCAGCGCTTAGGATGGCCATTTCTTGGTGGTGTTACCATCATGGTGGGACCCTCCATGAGGACCTGGTGCATGCAGGGGGATTTTGGGATATCTCTCTCCACAGAATGGGAATGAAACCAAGATTTGAAGCTGGAACCTGCATAGCATGTAATGGGATGTTTGAGATTTAAAATTTTATAATAAGTTAAAAACCTGAGCTGGAATCTGCCCCACATCTCAATTTTGGGCTATTCAGAATCTGGCCTGTCTCTCTCCAAAGACTAGTTGGATGCCGGAACATGTCTCTTGAGATTTAAATTCAATTATGGGAATTGCCACAGGCTTGCATGTCAGGCACATGATTCCATGTCATTGGTACACCCCTCCAGAAGACTTAAAAGTGAAGTTGTGGGGGCTGGAGGCATATGGTTTTGTATTTTGAAGAGAAAATGATTCGATACTATTGATTTGCCCCTGCACAACTGTAATAGCTTGTTCCTTAGGAAATATCTCAGCGGAGTCTGTCAACCAGGCCTGTGTGCTAACCAGTTCTTTTCCTTGTTGTCTAGGGGGGATCCAGACAAATGTGACATCTGGGGAAACACCCCTCTCCACCTGGCAGCAGCCAATGGTCACCTGAACTGCCTTTCCTTCCTCATCTCTTTTGGGGCCAACATCTGGTGCCTGGACAACGACTACCACACCCCGCTAGACATGGCAGCCATGAAAGGACACATGGAGTGCGTGCGTTACCTGGACTCCATTGCTGCCAAGCAGAGCAGCCTCAACCCCAAGCTGGTGAGCAAACTGAAGGACAAAGCCTTCCGGGACGCAGAGCGGAGGATTAAGGACTGTGTGAAGCTGCAGAAGAAGCACCACGAAAGGATGGAGAAACGGTACAAAAAGGAAATGTCAGATAATTCAGACACCATGAGCTTCTCTAGCTATTCGAGTAGCACTTTAAGCAAGAAGTTCCAACACATGTCTATGGTGACTTCCCTGCCATATTCACAAGCCACTCTGCATGGTACAGCCAAGGGAAAGACAAAAATACAGAAGAAGCTAGAGAAGAAGAAGCAGGTGGATGGGACGTTCAAAATATATGAGGATGGGAGGAAAAGCGTACGGTCTCTGTCCGGCCTGCAGCTAGGGAATGATGTCATGTTTGTGAAACAGGGCACATACGCCAGCCCCAAGGAGTGGACTCGACGTAATATCAGAGACATGTTCCTCACAGACGAAGATACTGTCTCCCGTGCCATAAGTGATCCGGGTTTGCACATGGACTCAGCCCACTCGGAAGTCAGCACCGACTCTGGCCACGACTCCTTGTTCAACCGCCCCGGGCTGGGCACTATGGTGTTCCGGCGCAACTACGTCAGCAGCGGGCTCTTTGGGATCGGCCGGGAGGACACTGGCACACTGGGAGAAGGCAATGCTGATGGGGTAGGTGTCAAACTGCGGAGCCGCCTGCAGCGCTCGCCAAGTCTCAACGATAGCATTGGCAGTGCCAACAGCCTGCAGGAGAGGAACGCAGAGGAGCTACCCTGGGATGAGGTGGAGCTGGGCTTAGATGATGACGATGAACCAGACACCAGCCCCTTGGAGACTTTCCTGGCTTCCCTGCACATGTTTGAGTTCATCTCCATCTTGAAGAAGGAAAAGATCGACTTGGAGGCCCTCATGCTATGTTCAGACAATGACCTGAAGAGCATCAATATCCCCTTGGGCCCCAGGAAAAAGATTGTGGATGCCATCCAGAGGAGACGTCAGACTTTGGAGAGGCCAGATGTCATTGTAGACACTGAACTGTAAGTAGGAGATGGGGCTACTGAGCAATTAAACTCTTCAGCAGGTGGAGATGTGGTTAACGTATGGGCTTGTTTTCAACCCACTTGGAAGAGTGGGAGCCCAGGTAACTGCAGGGCTTCTGTGTGTGGGAAAATTCCTTCTTGTGTGGAAACGATGAGAGTTTGGAAAGGTGGCATTAGTGTTAGGTCATTACTCAATCGCCCTAATGCGGCTGAGCAGGATGCAAAGTTTTGTTTCATAACCTACGTGAATGCAGACTGCTCTGTGGTCTGATTCTTCTAAGTCCTTTTAGCTGGGATTTTCAACCACACTCTCATTTGTCTTGACTCTTCACCTGTTGAAGGTGTTAGGAAATCAACCACAGTTCCCCAGTGGGAGCAGACTGAGGCCAGAGTCCAGTGGCTTTCAGAATCCTTCCCCAAATGCTCGAGTTCTTACTCAAACCTTTGGAGACTGCATATCTGGGTTGGAGCTGTTCTTGCTGTGTTTTGGCATTTCCAGGGTTTGGTTGGTTTGGTCTGAAAGGACCACGTGCCTGCCGTTGAGGTGAATGGAAGGCATTAATTTGGGTCTCCCCACTGTCACATCTGCTGACACCCCAATCCACTGTGTTATTTGGGCTTCCCAGCCTCTAAATGTCTGGTTTTACTGGTTTTCAGGACTGATCACTCCTGGATCCCCAGGGTGTTGATAGATTTTTCTCCTTCCCTTTGCAGATAGCAGCAGCCTTTGTTTTCCCATGAACAAGAAACAAAACCAGTTCTAATTTGCCAGAAAACACAAGCCAGAGACTCTCTTCCTGGGGCAGCTGGATGCTACAGCCGTCCCCTTCAGTCCCTCTGAACTGCCCTCCTGCTCCCTCACTCTGCTCCCTGGCTGTGCAATGCTCCCAGGCAGTACCTGATACTGAGGGGCAGTTGCTGAGCTCAGACCAGGCAGCTTCATCCTGCCTGCCTGATGGGACAACAGTCGCCTGCTCGCTGGAGGAACATGAATGTACTATGCAGCCGGCTAGGAAACTGTGTAGTCACAGGTTGAGAAACCATGCAAAGCCATGAGAGGAAGGAGTTACATGATGATAGTTTCAAAGGGACCCAAAATAAATAATTACACTCAGACTTTCCTGAGCAAAGTGTTTGATTTGGGGTTTGGGATGGAGGAGCAGGGGAACGGGGCATTCTGGCCCCTCTCCTGGTTCTTGGTTGCTTTGGGAAGGTTGTTTGGTACTGTGTTGTTGGGGGTGAGCTTTGATTCGCTTGGTTTTGGGGTGTTTGGCTTGAGATAGCCCAGCTCTGATTTTTCCCAGCAGGTTCTCAGCACATCTGTGAGTCAGGTCTATGCTATCTTGAATGAGATGATCTGAAATGAAGATGGTGTTTTGAATGTGTCGGTAAAAGCCTTTCAGTGCCCCAGTCAAATAGGCTGTCCTGCAGAGGTAATATTTCTGTCCTGTCTCTCCAGAGCACTAAGCTGTGTAAGCAATTTATGTGTAAAGGGCCTGGACGTTCCCCTCCGGGAGTTTCCCGCGACAGAGCACAGCACCAGAGGATAACACGGCTGGGCGGCAGCAAAGAGGCTATTCTAGGTAGCCCCGATACATTGATGCTCAAAATGCAGCCCAGCTCTGAACCGTAGAGGTTAGGTGTTTCACACAGACCCATCAGCTCTCTCACCGACTGTTACACTCATTTTCCAGGCCCTCAGCTCCCAGCCCCCCTGCCGTAGCGTAATACACGCATGGTGCATGGACGGGTCACGGGTGGAAGGCGCGTTCCTGGGTGCAGCGGAGGGCTGTGGACCTGCATCCTCGCCTGATCCCACAGTTTGGCAGTGACATAGCCTAATGGGAGAGAGTTGACAGCCCTGTGCTGGCAACGTGCCTCTTTAGGCTGTGATGCAAACTACCGGTTTAGAGAAGTGCCACCTGGATTACCCTGTTGCTGGGGCTGCTTCAGGTGAGCTCGTAAAGCCACAAACAGGGTGACTGCCACTAGACAGCCCATAGGTTACTTACAGGGGTACCGAGACTGCAGTGGAGGTAGCTGAAAAACTGGACCAGAGCAAAAAGGAATGCAACAACGGCTCAAATGACCCCATAGAGCAGGGGATCCAATCTTAGCACTGAAAGGTCTTTTGAATCTTAACAAATCCAGGGTGAGGTTTAATTTTGCTCTGGTGCAACTTGCATCCTGTCCTGGCTTTCTCGTTACGGCGGCTGCAGCTGAGAGCACTAGTCTCACAGCATGCTTGTGTTTGCAGAGTGGGACCTGGGCTCCTGCTGGTTCCTTGCAGGCAGGTTTGAGCCCTGGCTCTAGCAGAGGGAGGTAAGTCAGGCCTAGCCTTTCAAGAAATGCTGGCCTCTCTAGTGAGGCACGGGAGCTTCCATGGGTGTAAATCCTGACTGTAAGCGGAAGGTTGCTTTGTCATTTCACATGGAGCTGGAGGAACACGCTCAGTTATGCCTGGGTTTATCTAGCTGTTTATCTAGCCTCATCTCAATAGTGCAAACTATAAGGAATAACCTGAGCGTGGCGACTTCTGGCAGATGTGCATGTTATTCCAGGTCTGCCTGGAATCTGGACCACGCTTGTCCTTGAGACATGAAGACACTTTCCTCCATGCACGGCCTCCAATTTACTTTCTCTGTGCTGGGCTGTCTCTGCCCCAGCACCTCTCTTGAGACTAATTGGAGAAGGTTTAAGTTAGGCCAGCTGTTTCGTCCTTGCACTGGATGTCTCCTGCACCGTCTCTGGCTTCTTCATCCATTTGTTATGAGAGCGGCTGAAACAGGTCCCCATCCTGAGATGAGCCAAAGCCCAGCTCTCGAGTCAAGCCTACAGCCTGCATATCCGCTCCCAAGAGGCCCCCTGCAAGGCAGCGTAGCCACGGTTGCACAAATATGTCTTTAAGCAGTTGAGCTTGAACCCTGCCTCTGAGCACCCGCACAGCCAGACGTGACATCTCGCCTAGCGTTCAGCTCATCGAGGCGACGCGTGGTGGGAATGATCCAGCAAGCTCTGGACCAGCTTTCCTGACGGTTGTTCAGAGAAGCACAAGGGCATATGAACATATGCAGAGTATTTTACAGTAGAAAGGCTTTAGTGGTGCAGGTTCTGTTTTCTCTGGTTGCAGAATGTGTATTAGCTTGGTGTGAAGCTGTGCTCTTGGCAAGCAGTTGGGCTTGGTGCCTATGAGAAACAGGGGACCAGTGGCTCTCTGTCCAGCTACCCTCCGAGCGGATGGAGCCCCATCTCCCGATGCGTGGGGCCCGGCAGCATGGGTCCTCGAGTCCCCACTGGTTTTACAGCCTCACACCACTGCACGGAGAGATGCTGCAGCATCAGCTGGCTACCAACGCTGCACTGAAGGTTTAAGATCTTTCTGCACATTTTGGCATTTGGAAATGGCTTGTACCAAAGTGCCTTTTGCCTCCTTTCTCAGGGCACCTGAAAATATTGCTGCTCCTGGTTGCTCCTGGCTCCGAGAAGCAGTGCTGGCTGCACACATTGACACATCCAGCCCTGGCAGCGGGTGTGCAACTGCACGCGGAGGGCTGCTGGGGCCTCCCGAGGATCCCAGTTAGCCAGAAACGCAGGAGGGAGCGCAAATGCTCACAGCTCAGGACCCCAGGGTTGGGGCCACGGTGCTACCGAACTGCCTTGCAACCAGGGGCTTGCCTGGAAAACTCGGCCTTGCCCCGTTCGTACCGCAGGAGCAGCGCAGAGCGGAGCTTTGATCAGGCAGTTTTGTAAAAGCACCTCAGACAAAAGCTGCTCCTAGCTTTTTAAAGTAACTTTTGGAGATAAAAATGCTTTTGTATTTGGAATGACTTTTGGCTTGATTTGCCTAACTCTGGGCTTGATATCCAGACAAAAGTGCTAGAAATTGAACACGCCGAGTTGGTCAGTTCTCAGGAAAAGCCGGCCAAGCGCCGACTTCAAAGCCCTGTTTTCTTTGGCCCCGCTCCAAAGCCAAGGCTGGCCACTCGGTGTCCTAATGTCACAGCTCCCTCTGCTGGGACCTGGCCCCTGGGAGCAGGATTGGACCTGCTGCCTGGCTGAGGCGTGAGGTGCAGGGACATGGCGAGGCACAGGGACGGCCGCCAGCTGCCGGCTGCGAGCAGGACGCGTGACCGAAGGCCGGTTTGCAGGTGAGATGGTGGTGGCTGAATCCATCCCCTTCCCCGCTTGCTTGTGCGATCGCATTCAAGTCCTCTGCCTTTTACCTCTGGGCCGAGCCCACCCTGGGACCGGCTGCGGGGAGTCTGTTCTTCACCGCCGGGGACCCAGGGCAGCCTCGGGTGACCAAAACGCTCCTGAGCTTGCCATGCTCCCCCGTGACTTTGCTGGGGCACAGTCCTTGACTGCCCTCCTTGTTGCCACCGCGTCCCGACCCTGCATGAGCTCAGCCGCCCACATGTCTGGCTCGGGCCCAGACCGGGTGATTTGGGTGCCTGGCTCGGACGGTGGCTGCTGGTACAACACCAACCTCTTCAGAGGCCGGAGAGGGGCTGCAGGGGCCTTGGGCCAAGCTCTGCCTCAGGTCATGCTCATGCTCATGCTAAGCCCACGTGTGTCTGCTTGCGAGGGCGTTTGCTGATGCTTAAACAAACCCTTGCTGAACGCTGCCAGCCCGGCTTTAATTCACGGGCAGGAGTCAATTGGGCCCTTGGGGCTGGTGATGGACGTGGGAGGGGAGCGATTGGCCCTGGTTTGCATTGCCGTTGCTCCAGCGCGACAGGCACCGGTTTACCCCAGCGATGGAAAAGGAGAAGCAGAGCTATCAGCTTGGTGCCCACAGGGGCCTTTGCAGGCCACGAGCAGGGAAAGGTTTCCCACCTAGGGGCTGTGGGGCAGGTGGCAGTTGCAAACTTGGTAACTTTCTGCTTAGGATCATCCAAGCCAATGATGTCTGGCTGATGCTGAGGGAGACAGAAACACCTCTTCTTCCAAGCTATCTTTCCTCTAAAGAGCTGGTGAAAAGGCTTGCTTGAAAAGGGATGCGATGATACCCGAGAGCCACGGGACAAGTCCCCACAAAGCTAAGAATGAGCCCAAAACGCTTCTTGCCAAAGCCCCAGGCTCCTGGGGACCACCACCGTCATCTCCACCACCGCCGGGAGAGACCACAAGCAAGCCATGGAGCCGCCACGGCATTGCAGAGCCCAACCCGAGGGCTGGGGCCAAGAACTGCCCACGGGCAGGGCGAGGAAGGTGAGCTGGTGCTCCCCACCAGCGCCCGGCTCCAGAGGCACCACGTCTCCCAGCTTTCAACCGGGGCATCTCCCGGGAGCCCTGCAGAGGGGAGCAGGCAGCTCGACGCCCCGCGGGCACCAGTCCCCCCGGCTGCATGCCAGGGGGTTTGCAGTGGAGGGGGCGGCCGACGGGGCTG